CCATTACTCAAGCCAAACGCAGGTCTAACCCCCAAAACCTATCCCTTCTATACTTCATGTCTAAGGAAAGGGATAGCCCAGGGATAGCAGGTTCTATCCCTTTCCCTCCAGTCCAGCAGCCAACACACTACGGAAACCAGTATGGTCTGATCTCTTTCTTTCCAGAAGATGGGAGGGGAAGAAGAACAGAAGGTGGTTCTCCTGAGCATGTGCTGATTTGGGACAGCGGAAGGAAATGGCAACCATGAGTTGTTCCTGGTGGTGGGAAGAGGATGAGCAGAGTCCCCTGGATTCATGCAGGACCTGAGCCAAAATCAAGAGTCAGACGCTTAACCGACTGAACCACCCAGGCGATCCCAACAAACTACATTTTAATGAATGGATGGAGACATTAGAAGGATATTTTAGGTAAAGCTGGGAATGATACATGAGAAGGCTGAGGCAGAAGCAGAAAGTCTCTGAAGGCACTAGACTTTCTTGACCATAAATGGCAGTGAGCTGGAGATACTGTAATCCAAAATGTGGGGAGCCTCCATCAGTCTGGTCAAGGCATACTCAGATGAGGCTCTCAACATAAGTTAACAAAGCGAGTATTTCAAGAGTGCTGGTCAGGGTTAAGGGAACCCAAAAGGACTGCTGAGACCTCTGGGGACTAGCAGCTTTGCATCCTGTTACCACTCCTGAGGGCACTGGAAGGAGACAGTATTTCTGAAGCCGTGAGGAGGGGCAGTGACTGGAAGCTGGCTGTAGGGGCATGGAGGCATGGCCAGAATCACAGTGCTGAAGCAGGATGCTACTGGGGCAAGAGCTCCCCCAAACTTTCTGTATTCTTTGGTTACCTGCTAATGTTTCCCACCCGATGGAGGCAGAATACAGTCCACCCCCCCCCCCCAGGGAACCTACCCCCAACCCCAACACACAGACACAAGACAGAACAGACAGGAAAGGGAATGGAGAATAAGCAAGCACAGAGCCCAGCTGACAAAAAGCTTTATATTCAACTTTTTTTTTTTTTACTACAATTTGAAAGCTTTTCTAAGCTTGAGAATGGAAAACAATTTATTGCTGCCATACTTTGGGGTGTAAGAGTACTAGTCTGGGGGCGCCTGGGTGGCTCAGGCGGTTAAGCGTCTGCCTTCAGCTCAGGTCATGATCCCACGGTCCTGGGATGGAGCCCACATTGGGCTCCCTGCTCAGCGGGGAGCCTGCTTCTCCCTCTGCCTGCCATTCCCCTTGCTTGTGTTCTCTCTCTAATAAATAAAATCTTTAAAAAATAAATAAAATAAAAAATAAAATGTGTTTGTAAGTTCAACAACTCTACAAAGCCTTCTCAAAGATTTCTTCAACACTGTGATACCAGTACTAGCCTGAAAGAAGTTAGGTCAACTTCTCCCTTGGTAATCCGGCAAGAGAGCAATACTCTGTGTGCAATAAACACTAACTGGCTCTTACTTGGCTTAAGTGAGATCCGTTCTTCCTTTCCAGGACAGTGGTCAACCATCAGTGATTCAAAGAACCTGCCCTCTGGAACAGCATCACCTTCCAATCACTGATGTGGCTATCAAAGACCACTCGAACCTTCCAGCTACAGAACGGTCTCAGAACAGCAAAAGCGATCACACTAATGAACACAAGACAACAGCCCACGTGCGATATCAAAATTCTTCTTCAAAGATGAGGGGAGAAGAGGAAGAGGTGGGAAAAGAAACCCCTGGTAAAAGAAAAAAATAAAGATTCCGTTTTCTCTCCTTGCACTATGTACGTGACACAGACACCCAGCAGAGGACTTGTTAACGGCTCCCAAATTTAAGAGGGAACAAGAACTACAAAGGAAACTCCTGGGTCTGTTGCTTATTTGCCTTAGTCCAAAATGGAAAAGTAAACAAAATAATACCCACAATCTTTGTTGTCTGATGTAAGGATAACTGGCTCTCAGCTACTTTAAACAAAGTTGCAATCACTCATTATGCAACAAGTTCTCTAAATGATTTAAAATGTCTGGCTCCGAAAGAAGAGTGAAAAACAGATGTAATACTGAAGACTCCAATTATGAATAATTCCTTGATAAGACCCCTCACCAGTGCCAACAACTAATTTACTAACATGAATTACAGTTATGAATTCAAATTTTGGCAAAAAATTAAAGTAAATGAGGTGGGCTCAGCACATCTTCCATTAAACATATTCTTGTTCACCAGAAAAAAAAAGCAAAAGCCTGTATGTACTAAACCTTCAGATAATTCTGGTTGCAAATGAAAGAAGATCCAACTAGAAGTATCTTAAATAATTCAAACATACATTAAGTCTTTGAATTAGAAATCTGGATACAGAGGACAATAGGACTGGATCAGAAACTCAGACAGTCTAAGATTCTCATGGATTCTCACAGACAGAAAATAGTTACCAGAGCCCGAAACACTGTCCCTTCCCTGACAGCATCTGAAGCAGGAAGAGAAAAGACAGGGAAAGACGACTTTTTGTCCTAAGCCAGTTTCTCATCAAGAAGAAAACTCTTGGGGCGCCTGGGTGGCTCAGTCAGTTAAGCATCTGCCTTCGGTCTCCGGGTCCTGGGATCGAGCCCCATGGTGGCAGCTCTGCGTTCAAAGGCAAGTCTGCTTTTCCTTATGCCCCTTTCCCACTCACGCACAAGCGCGCTCTCTCTCACTCTCATAAATAAAATCTTTAAAAAAAAAAAAAAGAAGAAAACCCTTTTCTAGAAGCCCCTCGCTCTTCCATCTCAATGGCAGAAGAGACTTACACAAGGACCCTTAAATTCTCTTTTCAGTGAATGAGGTGCCCTCACTGACTTAGAGCAATCACGATATATTCCCCTATGACCGGGCCCAAAACATGTTAGCAAAAAAGAAGCAAACACTATAGTATGGGCAGGCATCAAGTGTAGCATTCAGAGAAACTCCTGCACAAGTAGTTTAAGCCATGCTTCAAATCCAGAGATAGTGAAGTTAAGGAGGGGCAGGAGGCCTGGGGTCCTATGCTCAGACACTGTATAGGGGCCAAGCAGAAATTGTGAATGAAACAGGCGGGCCGAGCAGGCGGGCTGAGTGGGAACTGCACAGCTCTGAACAGTTTGTGGCCTCCAGTTCCTGATCTATTTTAAGCTCTCATTTCAAATATCAGTAAAGTACAGGAGAGTTTAAGAATAAACAGATATTCTTTCTTTAACCTTTACACAAATACAGGTCAGCCTAGCTTCAGACTCAGAAATTATGACACGTTAACCTCTTACCACGGGCCAGGTACTATCTACAGTGCCTTACACAATGATCTCATTTCACTTTTTTCTTTTTTCTTTTTTTTTTTTTCAGAGAGAGAGAAAGACAGTGAGTATGGGGGTGGAAGGAGCAAAGAGAGAGAGGGAGAGAAGAGAATCCTAAGCAGGCTCCATACTCAGCACAGAGCCCAACATGGGGCTCAATCTCACCACCCTGAGATCATGAGCTGAAATCAAGAGACAGATGCTTAACCGACTAAACCACCCGGGCGCCCCTCATTTTGCTTTTTAAAATAAAATGTTATGCAGGGGCGCCTGGGCGGCTCAGATGGTTAAGCGTCTGCCTTCGGCTCGGGTCATGATCCCAGGGTCCTGGGATCGAGCCCTGCATCGGGCTCCCTGCTTGGCAGGGAGCCTGCTTCTCCCTCTCCCTCTACTATCCCCACTGCTTGTGCTCTCTCGCTCTGTCAAATAAACAAATAAAATCTTTCAAAAAAATAAATAAAATAAAATCTTATGCATTAAGTACTACTACTGTCCTCATCTTTACAACGAAGGAAGTGAGACTTGGAGAAGAGAGTAATTTCTTCACAACCACATGACTTCTAGGAAGTGAAGCAGGGACCAGAGTTCATAGAAGCTAGACGCAACTCCTGAAATAAGTGCTCTTGCCCAGCTTCTGTAGCCACTCGAAAGAGGGCGTCTGATTAACAAATATGGCTGGGTAGCCAGCTAGCTCCTTAAAAAGCCACCACATTAACTTTTCTCAGCCCTGCCCACTCCCTTTCTACACAGAAAATATTTTTAAAAAGCAGCACCAAGGTTTAGGGCTTAACCTCTTCTGTAGTGGATCTTTCAAATTCTTCAGATCTTAAAAAAGCCTCCCAAGCTCTAAAGTAATGTGGGTGTCTGACATGGGAGCTTGGATTTGTGAGTATGGGTGCACCAGAATAAACACATCATTCACCTACCTCTGTGTAAAAGACCTGCTAATCGCAAGCTGTGAGGTATAAAAATCCCTGTCCTGGAGTACTTTATAAAGAACAGCATCTACAGACTCTTCTCCTACTACTCCATTTCATGCTAATCCAGAACTCTGAAACCACTACTAACCTACTCTTCAACAACTTTTCCTGTTATCCGTTTAAAGTCCTTCTCTTCTACACCACAGGCTCCTGTCTTACTTACTTATAGATCCCCAACACTTGGCACCCTGGCATAAAGATGCATAACAAACATTTGCTGAATGAACAGCCAGTTCTATTCAGCTTTAGCATATAAGTTTTATAATACACAAATAAGGGCGCCTGGGTGGCTCAGTTGGTTGAGCAACTGCCTTCGGCTCAGGTCATGATCCTGGAGTCCCGGGATCGAGTCCCGCATCGGGCTCCCTGCTCAGCGGGGGCTCTGCTTCTCCCTCTGACCCCCTTCCCTCTCGTGCTCTCTGTCTCTCATTCTCTCTCTCAAATAAATAAATAAAATCTTTAAAAAAATAAATAAATAATACACAAATAAAAGGTCAATTTGTTATTGGCAACCATCTCCCATACAGTATACAAAATAACATTAGATCAAATTGCACCAATATAACAAAACTACCCAGGCAGGTTTAGATAGACTACCTCTCCAACATATTTCATCCTGCATTTATCTTTACTAAACATTCTCTTTTACACTTTAGTAAGCAGTGGAAAAATTCTTCTGGAAATTCCCCATCAGGCAGAGACTTCAAGTAGTCCCATGTTAGATAATGAGATCCATGTCTTACCAGCATTCATATCTTTAAACTTCTGCTTTAGCTCAGTAGGAGTGAAACGATACTGATCAAGACCATCATTCCAGTAAATTCGGTCCAAGACTTGAAGATCTCCTCCAATCAGCCAATCTCCTTGTTCCATAACCATCTAATAGAAAAGAAAGAAATTTTTTAAACAGAAACCAAGATCAAAATAAGTAAGAACATTTCTCACACGAGCTACATATAGTTGCAAGTTACCTTCATCTTAAGGCCAATGGTAAATCTGTTTGCTGTATCAACTGAATTGGGATTAGAGACGCTTTAAAATTAGAATGTAGGGGTGCCTGAGAGGCTCAGTCGTTAAGTGTCTGCCTTGGGCTCAGGTCATGATCCCAGGGTCCTGGGATCAAGCCCCGCACCGGGCTCCGTGCTCAGCAGGGAGCCTGCTTCTCCCTCTACCACTCCCCCTGCTTGTGTTCCCTCTCGCTGTGTCTCTTGTCAAATAAATAAATAAAATCTTAAAAAAAAAAAAAAAAGATCTTAAGTTTAAAAAATAAAATAAAAAATAAAATCACAATGTATTATATAACTTCTCAGAGGGCTCTGTGACACAACTATGATATTTACATATGAAAGGCCAACAAAACCAAAATGAGTAATTATGACTTGTTAAGTAACAAAAACATTCTCTTCACTGTTGTTGCATGCTGATGAACAGAAACATTTGTAACCCTGGGTCACCCCAGCCTCTGTGTTCTCCAATCCTAAACTTTTGAGCAATCCAAGTAATGATGATAGAGCTGGACACAAACACATACCTTCCCATCTCCACACCACCTCAAATTTCTCACAGCTTCACTCATGCTCTTTCCCTGCCATCTGTGAGGAGGGATGCTACCTCTGGGACCTGTCCATTTCCACAGCACAGCTAAAGCTCACCCTTCCTCCCCCACCCCCTCGCTTCAGTTTATGGGCTAATAATGCACCTAGACTGCTATGGTCCCTTCCTACCTGGCCTTGTTCGCTAGGAAGTCCTTCCCCATCCATCAAACCATTCATTCATTCAGTATTCATCGAGTAACTGGTACGTGCGCTGGTACGTGAGCTAGGCACTGCGGAATGCAGCAGCAAACAGGACAGAGAGAGGCCTCACTCGAACAGAGCTTGCATTCTAGTGGGACAGACCGAGCAGAAACCACACAAGTGTTGGCTAATGAAGAGTGTTACAGAGAAAACAACCAGGGCAATGGAGCACAGCTCCCAGGGATTAGACTCAATGACATTTCAGAGAACGGAGTCAGTGAAGGTCTCTCTGAGGAGGGTCGCATTGAATCCGAGATGACTAAAAGGAACCAGCCATGGAGATCAAATAGTTCAGGCAGAGGGGCAGCGCAAGTACAGAGTCCGAAGCAGAAACGAAGTCCTGGAGCTTTAAGTCCTTGAGGAGTGGAAAGAAGGCGAATGTGGCCCAAGGCCAGGAAAGTCAGAGCAGGGGGAGGAGTAGAGATAGAGCGAGAGAGACCACGAGTAAGGCCAGGGCCGGACCCCACTGGGCCTCACAGGCACATGGGTTTTATTCTAATTACAAGGTGCAACCATTGGAGAATTTCAAAAGGTGGTGTGATATGTTCAGATACAGATTTTTAAAGGCTCGCTCTAATGAGGAAGGACACTATACTTAAAGGGTTTATCCAACAAGAAGATCTGACAATTTTAAATATTTATGCCCCTAACATGGGAGCAGCCAATTATATAAGCCAACTAATAACAAAATCAAAGAAACACATCGACAATAATACAAAAATAGTAGAGGACTTGAACACCCCCCTCACTGAAATGGACAGATCATCTAAGCAAAAGATCAACAAGGACATAAGGGCTCTAAAGGACACACTGGACCAGATGGACTTCACCGATATATTCAGAACATTCTATCCCAAAGCGACAGAATACACATTCTTCTCTAGTGCCCATGGAACATTCTCCAGAAGAGACCACATCCTGGGTCACAAATCAGGTCTCAACCTGGTACCAAAAGATTGGGATTATTCCCTGCATATTTTCAGACCAAAATGCTTTGAAACTCAAACTTAATCACAAGAGGAAAGTTGGCAAGAACTCAAATACATGGAGGCTAAGGAACATCCTACTAAAGAATGAATGGGTCAACCAGGAAATCAAAGAAGAATTAAAAAAATTCATGGAAACAAATGAAAATGAAAACACAACTGTTCAAAATTTTTGGGATGCAGCAAAGGCAGTTCTAAGAGGAAAGTATATAGCAATACAAGCCTTTCTCAAGAAAGGAGAAAGGTCTCAAATACACAACCTAACCCTACACCTAAAGGAGCTGGAGAAAGAACAGCAAATAAAGCCTATACCCAGCAGAAGAGAAATAATAAAGACCAGAGCAGAAATCAATGAAATAGAAACCAAAAGAACAGTAGACGAGATCAACGAAACTATGAGCTGGTTCTCTGCAAGAATTAATAAGACTGATAAACCCCTGGCCAGACTTATCAAAAAGAAGAGAGAAAGGACCCAAATAAATAAAATCATAATGAAAGAGAGATCACAACCAACACCAAAGAAATACAATTATAAGAACATATTATGAGCGGGCGCCTGGGTGGCTCAGTTGGTTAAGCGACTGCCTTCGGCTCAGGTCATGATCCTGGAGTCCCTGGATTGAGTCCTGCATCAGGCTCCCTGCTCAGCGGGGAGTCTGCTTCTCCCTCTGACCCTCTTCCCTCTCATGCTCTCTCTCATTCTCTCTCTCAAATAAATAAAATCTTTAAAAAAAAAAAGAACATATTATGAGCAACTGTATGCCAGCAAATTAGACAATCTAGAAGAAATGGATGCATTCCTAGAGACGTATAAACTACCAAAACTAAACCAGGAAGAAAAAGAAAACCTGAACAGACGCATAACCAGCAAGGAAATTGAAGCAGGAATCAAAAATCTCCCCAAAAACAAGAGCCCAGGGCCAGATGGCTTCCCAGGGGAATTCTACCAAACATTGAAAGAAGAATTAATACCTATTCTTCTGAAGCTGTTTCAAAGAATAGAAATGGAAGAAAAACTTCCAAACTCATTTTATGAGGCCAGCATTACCTTGATCCCAAAACCAGACAAAGACCCCATCAAAAAGGAGAATTACAGACCAATACCCCTGATGAACATGGATGCAAAAATTCTCACCAAAATACTAGCCAATAGGACCCAACATTTAAGGATTATTCACCACGCCCAAGTGGGATTTATTCCTGGGCTGCAAGGTTGGTTCAACAACCACAAATCAATGTGATACAATACATTAACAAGAGAAAGAACAAGAACCATATGATCCTCTCAATAGATGCAGAAAAAACATTTGACAAAGTACAGCATCCTTTCTTGATTAAAACTCTTCACAGTATAGGGATAGAAGATACCTCAATATCATAAAAGCCATCTATGAAAAACCCACAGTGAATATCATTCTCAATGGGGGAAAACTGAGAGCTTTTCCCTTAAGGTCAGGAACACAGCAGGGATGTCCACTATCACCACTGTTATTCAACATAGTACTAGAAGTCCTAGCCTCAGCAGACAACAAAAAGAACGGCACCCAAATTGGCAAAGAAGTGAAACTCTCACTTTTTGCAGATGATATGATACTTTATGTGGAAAACCCAAAAGACTCCACCCCAAAACTGCTAGAACTCATACAGGAATTCAGTAAAGTGGCAGTAAATTGATATAAAATCAATGCACAGAAATCAGTTGCATTTCTATACACCAAGATAGAAGAAAGAGAAATTAAGGAGTCAATCCCATTTATAATTGCACCCAAAACCGTAAGATACCTAGGAACAAATCTAACCAAAGAGGCTTGAATCTATACTCAGAAAACTATAGAATACTCGTGAAAGAAATTGAGGAAGACACAAAGAAATGGAAAACGGTTCCATGCTCATGGATTGGAAGAACAAATATTGTGAAAATGTCTATGCTACCTAGAGCAATCTACACATTTAATGCAATCACTATCAAAATACCATCCATTTTCACAGAAATGGAACAAATAATCCTAAAATTTGTATGGAACCAGAAAAGACCCCGAATAGCCAGAAGAATGTTGAAAAAGAAAAGCAAAGCTGGTGGCATCACAATTCTGGACTTCAAGCTCTATTACAAAGCTGTCATCATCAAGACAGTATGGGACTGGCACAAAAACAGACATATAGATCAATGGAATCGAACAGAGAGCCCAGAAATGGACCTCCAACTTTATGGCCAACTAATCTTCGACAAAGCAGGAAAGAATGTCCAATGGAAAAAAGTCTCTTCAACAAATGCTGTTGGGAAAATTGGACAGCCACATACCAAAGAATGAAACTGAACCATTTCCTTACACCACACACAAGATAAACTCAAAATGGATGAAAGACCTAAATGTGAGGCAGGAATCCATCAAAATCCTTGAGGAGAACACAGGCAGCAAAACCTCTTCGACCTCAGCCGCAGCAACCTCTTCCTAGACACATCGCCAAAGGCATGGGAAGCAAGGGCAAAATGAACTATTGGGACTTCATCAAGATAAAAAGCTTCTGCAGAGCAAAGGAAACAGTCAACAAAACCAAAAGACAACTGACAGAATGGGAGAAGAAATTTGCAAATGACATATCATATTAAGGGCTAGTATCCAAAACCTATAAAGAACTTATCAAACTCAACACCCAAAGAAAAAAAAATAAAATCAAGAAATGGGCAGAACACATAAACAGACATTTCTGCAAAGAAGACATCCAAATGGCCAACAGACACATGAAAAAGTGCTCAACATCACTCAGCATCAGGGAAATACAAATCAAAATCTCAGTGAGATACCACCTCACACCAGTTGGAATGGCTAAAATTAGTCAGTCAGGAAACGACAGATGTTGGCGAGGATGCCAAGAAAGGGGGAACCCTCCTACACTGTTGGTGGGAATGCAAACTGGTGCAGCCACTCTGGAAAACAGTATGGAGGTTCCTCAAAAAGTTGAAAATAGAGCTACCCTACGACCCAGCAATTGCACTACTGGGTATTTACCCCAAAGATATAAATGTAGTGATCTGAAGTAGCATATGCACCTCAATGTTTATAGCAGCAATGTCCACAATAGCCAAACTATGGAAAGAGCCTAGATATCCATCGAAAGATGAATGGATAAAGAAGATGTGTATATATACACAATGGAATATTATGCAGCCATCAAAAAACCCAAAATCTTGCCATTTGCAACGATGTGGATAGAACTAGAGGGTATTATGCTAAGTGAAATAAGTCAATCAGAGAAAGACAAGTATCATATGATCTCACAGATATGAAGAATTTGAGAAACAAGACACAGGATCATAGGGGAAGGGAGGGAAAAATGTAAAAAGACGAAACCAGGGAGGGAGACAAACCATAAGAGACTCTTAATCTCAGGAAACAAACTGAGGGTTGCTGGAGTGGAGGGGGGTGGGAGGGATGGGGTGGCTGCGTGATGGACACTGAGGAGGGGTATGTACTATGGTGAGCACTGTGAACTGTGTAAGACTGATGAATCACATACCTGTACCCCTGAAACAAATAATACATGATATGTTAATTAAAAATAAAGCTAATTTGGTAAAAAAAAAAAAAAAAAAGAAAGAAAGAAAGAAAGAAAACATATTCAGAAAACAAACAAAAATTGTCCTTTTTGGATATATATGGGGGGGTATATATTAAATAACTCCATGATCAAAAGGAAAAAATAAAAAATAAAAAAAATAAAGGCTCGCTCTGGCTGTTCTGAGGAGTACAGACTGCAATGGACATGGAGGAAGCAGACTACAGCCAGGACTGCAGTGGACATGGAGGAAGCAGACTACAGGCCGTGACCGCCTAGGCTGGAGACCTGGAGAGCGTGGCCAGTACCAGTGCAAGTGGAGGTGGGCTGGGGACATCCTGCACAAGACCACCAGGCCAAGCTTCCTAAAGCGCCACTTGGTTTGTGACTCACTCCTGCTCCAAGGCTGCCTGTGACCTCTCCACTCCTAGCAAGGCACAAAAGACCTAAGACAGAGTCTAACCCTGACTCCTAACAGGTGCCTCTGTAGCTCTGGGCAAGTTGAACCCAGCCTAAGACTCCTCAGGATTCTACCTCCAAGGATCACTAAGGACCAAACGACAGAAATGTGGTTGGAAAAGCACAAAGCATAAATACATGTAAACCCCTATTATGACTAAACAAGATTTTAATATCTCAGGGTAGAACGCTAAGCCCCTCTGTCTTCTCAAGGTCCTCTCTCCTGCTTACCAACCAGTCATCTCTCAAAGGCATGGAGTCTTTGCTCCTCCTGCTCCCTAAAACTGAAATTCCGTTTCTCACAGTTCCTCCTATCAAAATCCTACTGGCTCCTCAAGGTTGCATACCAAGTACTAACTATCCTAAGAAGTTTTGCAGATTACTCTAAATAAAAGTAGCACATACACCAATAACTGCTCTCTGCTACAGATTATCGAAGATGGCTTTGAAGCCCGAAGTCCTAAGTGCAAATCAAACCCTCATCCCACCCTTTAGCTGTATAATTTGGTTAAGACATTTATCCCCTGTAATTTCTCCATATGTGGGATGGAAATGCCACCCATCCTTATAGGTTTGCTTTGTGGTTCAAGGAATTTACATAAGCGTGTTTTGTAAACTACTATTTGTTATTAATAACTGTAGAATTTTAACGTCGAAAGAATGTCTGACACTATCACTAATTCAAATTCCTTATTTTCTAAAACAATATATCTCCCTATTTTAAAAAGTTTATCACTTTTTATCCTTTATGAGATGAGATTTAGCATATTGACATGATCTAAACAGATGTCGTAAATATTTTCTAGATAAAGCTACTAAAATTTCAATTTCTTTTAAAGCTCAAAGTACACTTTAAAACAAGTGACAGAAATTTTACTTCAGTGATGACATTTCACATACAACACGTAAGATATATGAGGCCCTTTGGAAAGACAAATTGGATTTCACTGCTTTCATACCAGACACACAGCATTCAATTAAAGGCCCAGACAAGACAAAATCACCCTGCCATAGGCTCCCAAAGCACCCTGCCCTCACAGCCTACCTGTAAGTACATGATGTCTGCTCCCCACCAGACAGTAAGCTCCAACCATACAAAGACTGTGCCCACCGTTACATCAGTCCTATATTCCCAGAGCCAGCACCTAACTCAGTGCCTAATGTACAGAAGATGTTTAAAAAAGATTTACTAGGGGCACCTGGGTGGCTCAATCAGTTAAGCATCCAGCTCTTGATTTCAGCTCAAGTCATGATCTCAGGGTAGTGAGATCAAGCCCCACGTTGGACTCCGTGCTGGGCGTGGAGCCTGCTTGGGATTTTCTCTCCCTCTCCCTCAGCCACCCCCTTTTTACCTCTAAAAAAGATTTACTGAACAAATATTATCCGGACCAAAATGACAAGATCATGTGTTCATCACACTAATCTAAGATCCAGTGTCCATTCTGCCAAATATTAACAATTCCAGTGGAATCGTCAACATACAGGTAATGAATGCCCACACTTCGGCACAAACATTATTGGCACATCGAGATAAAATGCAGCAAGGTTTGCTCAGAACCTTGATGTAGGGGTGGTTCTTGCATGTTGTTCCCCATTGTCTGGCACAGCGCTCCTCCTTCCGGTGCTCAAAAAACTCCGGGTTGCGAAGAATAGCCACACGGCGGCCCTCGTACATCAGAGCAAATGCTGTACAGCCGTCCAGCCTCTCTTTATCTTCGTGAGTAGCCGGCAGAACTATAGGCACTGACAAGTTAATGACACCCCCTGCAGGGCACAAAAGAACATAAAGCACACAGCTTGGATTACTCAACAGGCCTCATATCCACCTTACACTCCAGCGGACACTCTTCAAATAATAGATTTATGAGTCCAATGACAGTATCTGGCACAGAAAATCAGGAGAGAGAACAAACAACTCCAGAGGTTAAAAAAAAAAAAAAAAAAAAAAACAGCAAACATTAAGAGCAGCAACACTGTGTAGAAATATACTTCTCACAATAATTCATGAAACTGTCTTTGGGGAGAAAAAAAATGGGCATAAAAATCACAGAAGAAACTGTTTAACAAGGAAGACTCAGCTGGTTACGCCTAATGTCACCCAAAATACAATGAGCACCTCCAATATATGAATAAGACAAAGAACAATGCTTCAGGGCCTTTCCAGGAAAATTGAAACCTTTCTGATAACTATATTTTGAGTGGCAAGTTAAGTATACTTGAGTATACTTGGGATACTTGGGTTTCCTTGAGATAGGAAGACAAAAACACCCAAAACGTATTTTTATTTCTTGGTTTTTAATCAGAATTGAACCAATGTCAGCAATTACTGGCCAAGAAACAAAGGAAGTCATCAGTGCCTCTATTTCAACCAAAATGTATGGTCAGTGAGACAAAAAGCACATTCTCAGTTTCCAACCTTTCAAGCTCTAAACGTTTTCTTTTTTGTTCATTGTGCCCAGGTTAGAAAAATAAAATGCACTCTCAAGTTCATATGTGGATCTTATTTACACACCTAGTAAAAGCATATTCTTTTGGAAATCATGGCATGCCTCTTACAAAAGATGTCAACAAAATCAACGATAACTGCTTGGCTGCTTTAAAGTTACCACCACTAGGTACAGTTTAAAAGGGAAAATTAACAGGTAGATTTGCACCAAACCCAGACTAAATCATTACTAAGGAGGCAGTCCACAAAGACTTTACCACTGGTTCCAAAGAAGAAAAATCAAAGAGCAGTATTTAACACTTTTATGTGATAAAGTTTGAGAAAAATGACTAGGAGTTATAATTTCTAGTATCAACCTCACTCCTTAATTAAAAGAAGTCACAACACAGAAGAACATGGTAGCAATTTAGTAGGGCTCTGTGACATTTAAAAATATTTTCTTTAATGTAATAAATTAATTTCAACAGTATATAAAGTTTCAGATAGCTGAATTGTCATTACAATGTACAATTTCTTTGGCAAACTGTTCTTTTTTTAGTGTTTTAAAAGAGGAAGAAGAACCATCCCTTTAACCATCTATTTCAGGACTCCTTAACTTGGACTCCCTGATTCCTTATTAGAACACTCAAGCATGGATTTCAATAGAGCAAAATTCAGTATAAATGTGCACTTTTCAGAGACAGACTTTCCACGGTGCTCAGGTGGATATAGCATAGGGAAACTATATTTGCTTTTTAAATCCATTTTCAGCCCCAACCCCAGGTTTTTCTTCTCTCTCTCAATAAATGACATTCAGGAAAACGAAGCAGGGGAAAGAAAAGATCTCACAGTTTGCTTAAAGTATTTAGTACTGATATAACTTAGTCTTAAAATGCTACCTCCATTAGACATCACCACTATTTTTTATAAATAGTGATAAATCTGTGTCATTTCTCTTCCATGCTCGATGTATACTATAGAAGTAAGGGGTCTTACCATCCAGAAGACAATCAAAATGAAGGCACTGCAGATACTCCCTCTCTCTCATAAAGCCATTCAGTGGGGTTGCCCACCCTTCTGCCAAGACCTGCACCCACTGCATATCCACCTAGTAAACGAGACAGGAAAGTTTTCTACTTCATATGCTTAGGAACAAAAGCAATAATAACCCTTAGGAGTTTAATTTTGAAAGCAATGGAAACAAACACCTCAAGAATGATTATAGATTATACAAATCTAATAAAGATTAAGGGCACTAGGAAAATGTGCATTTCTCCTAACAAATGTAAATAACATTAGGCTTCAAAGCATTTCTAATAAGGACAGCATCTCCTCCACTAGTGGTTCTCAAGCTTTAATATGTTATAAGAAACCCTCAGAAGGCCTTTATTAAAATAAAGATTGTTCTACCTCCCGAGATTCTATTTCAATCACTTTGCTGTGGGGCCCAAGAATTTGTATTTTTAATAGGTTCCCAGAAAATCTGAACAGTGATGGTCTGGAAATTAGACTTTGATAACTGCTGCCTTAAACTAACTTTACATAAAAATATTTATCAAAACAAGTGCTTCCTTGCTCTTTAAGATTTCTAGCATCTCCTACCAGAACGTTGAGGAACTGATGGACTATGTATCGTTAACGTAAGCTGGACATGCTCGTTTAACCGAGTGTGTGCGCATGTATGTGTGTGTGTGTGTGCGTGCGCGCGTGCACACAGCCGTGGCTCTCAGATGAGAAAGGATAAAGCAACTGGCCAACCGGTGTGCAGTAAGATGTAGCTTACTCTTTGTTCCCAAAGTATGTTGGTCAATGTGTCCCACTTTACAATCAAGTAACAGGTATTCCCCACCTCCTTCAAGTCACAGGAAAGATCATCTGCACAGACCCAATTGTGTCACTTACTTTCAAGCTTTCCTCTCATCAGTTATTCCTAAACCGCGGACAGGGGCCATTATTTGTCTCCACCAACATCCAATTCTAGATGGTATGTGTTACAAACCAAATGTCTGTGTCCCCCTCAAAGTCCGATGTTGAAGACCTAGTCCCCAGTGTGACTCTATTTGGAGACGTGGCCCACGGGGACGGGATACGGTTAAACGAAGTCCTAAAGCTGGGGCCCTTCTCCAACAGGTCCGGTGCCCTCACAGGTAGAGGAAGAGATGCCACCAGGGCTCGCTCTCTCCACTCGGCGAGGACGGTGAGGACGGTGAGGACACAGGCAGTGAGGGCTGTCAGCAAGCCAGGAAGACAGGCTCACCAGCGACCACGTCAGCCAGCAACCGGATCTTAGACTTTCCAACCCCCAGAACGGTGAGAGGACCAGAACGTACCCCATCCGGTCTAACGTCTTGGTGATGGCACACCAGGCTAATACTCTACTGACTTAAGACGGATTTTGCAATTAATTACTTTCCATCCTGCCATGCAAAGAACAAACCACTATATTAAAGGAGCTACTGTGTTTCCGGGTTGTAGAGTCTAACTGACCTGGATTCATATTCGTTCATTCTCATTCTCACAGTCTCTCTCTCCCTGTGTGTGTGTTCATTCCATGCAAAGTATGTCGGCAACAACATCTGTTCCTTTGCAACAATCACCTTCCTGAGTGGCTCTGCTCTCCAACCCTCCCTCTCTGCTCCCCCAGCATGTCTTAGCTTCTGGTCAGAGACCCAATCACACAGAGTGCATCAAGTAGTCTACTCCTCGTGGGGGATTTGAATAACTACTTAAAGAGGCTTTCTCTAAGCCCAGAAGTTTGTTGGTGGGCATTGTTTTGGTTTTTTTTTTTTCCACTTTAAGATTTTGGCGCTTCCCTGGGTGTTCTGGATTTTTACTAACCAAAATAAAGGCTGGGAAATTCAACTTCTGATCCAGGTTCTTAGCCCTTAATCTCCGCATTTTTAAAGTACATCTAAATGATACAGTTTAAAATCCCCTAATATTTGAAAATGATAAATTATAGTTTCCATTGTCACCATATCCAGTTTAGCTCAGTAGTTTTTTGGGGGGGGGGTGCGGGGCCTCTGGAGGTGGCACTCAATGATACTAGAGCTAAGACATACACAGAATTACTCTTACCAAAATAAGAAAGAAATTCAGCGTTTTGGCAAAGGATTATGAAACTTGTTTGGAGGAGAAAAAATGTTCATTTTAATTATTATATTTATAGTATTTTGAAGCATTAAGAACCCATTCTTTCTGATAAGCCGAAAACTTTACACAATCTTTGGTCTTTGCTATTTCAAAATTATTGGGGCATCTGGGTGTCTCAGTCAGGTAAGCTTCCAACTCTTGATTTCGGGTCAGGTCAGGATCTGAGTCGTGAGATGGAGCCAGGCATCGGGCTACACGCTGGACATGGAGCCTGCTTGAGGATTCTCGCTCTCCCTCTCCCTCCCCTCCCCACTTAAAAAAAAAAAAAGGTAAATATTATGACTGAAACTAAATCAAAGCCATGACATTTTGGAAATATGGCTTCACAAATTAAATACATTTCCCATCCCTGAAAATTGTGACATAAACTACAACTATCCCCCCTACCACCCACCACCCACACCATCAAACATAGTTATCAAACAAAATTTACAGATAATGACTATATATAAGGCTAAGTCACTTGGTATGAAAAGCAACAAAGCACTTACTTTATTAATCTGCAATGCTGGTAATGTCTCTGCATCTGTTTTTGCCAGATGGAGTTTATTTTCTGGCACATATAATTCTTTTACTTCATAAGAGGCATCCACAGGTACAATATCCTATACAACAAAAAAAGTACAATTAAGTGATTCAACAATTTAAAGTTCTCCAAAGGATGTCTTAATGAAAAAATTTAACATTTTAAAATGAGACTTCAAAAACGAAGTATAAAAGAGGGCTCTGAATGCTGTGCCTCCCCAGTCAACTTTCCTAATGTCGGTTGGTCTACTCTCAACACATAATATCCCACGTACAAGAAGTCCTTAAGCATCATGTCCCATAACCTAGTAACAAAGAATAAATTCCGAGAATGTGCCACATATGTCAAAATCAAGCAACTGCAAAGAACAGATGACCTCCAATAAAAAGAATTTGGGAACAAACAAAATCACTCTAAATATAATCATTTTCATCTTTAACACGTCACAAAACCCTTTTAGTTCAGCTTTCGTATGCGTCTTTATCCCTACTGTCACTAACACCACCTTCTCAGTCATGCCACATGGTACTCCTGAATGTGTCAACTTTACTCCCACTGCTGTGGTTTGAGAAACAGCACTTTTTGATCCTATGTGAAATGCAGTCTAGAAGTTTTTATCTGACCTCCGAGTGCTCATTTACACAACACTGGGACAGTGCTTATCTCTAAGAACACACAAGAAAGAATGTATTTCTGATTACCACAACACAGCTCCTTAGGTGATCTTTACAAGGCTTGCTCACACTTGTCAGACCCCGAGGAATAATGTGTTTAACTGCTTCAACTTTTTTTTAAGCCAAATCTATTAGGTCACCTTTATAAGGACACAAAATTGGCAATGATTAAGGGCTCATCTAAGCAATACTTTGTTAATCAAAATAAGTTATTCTCAAGGGAATGAATAGATAAGCCACAGACTGGGAGAAAGTATTTGCAAAAGGCATATCTGAAAAAGGACTGTTCTCTAAAACACATGAAGAACTCTTAACTCAGCAATAAGAAAACAAACAGCCCGATTTTTTTAAAAAATGGGCCAAAGACCTGAACAGAAACCTTACCAAAGAAGATATACAAATGACCGATAAGCATATGAAATGATACTCCACATTATGTCATCAGGGAAATGCAAATTAAAACAAGATACCACGACACACCTATTAGAATGGCTAAAATCCAAAATACTGACAATGCCAAATGTAGGTGAGGATGTGGAGCAACAGGAACTCGCACGCACTGCTGATGGGAATGCAAATGGCACAGACATTTTGGAAGACAGTTTGGCAGTTTCTTACAAAACTAAACACACACCATACGATCCAGCAATTGTGTTCCTTGGTATTTACCCAAATGAGCTGAAACCTATGTCCGCACAAAAACCTGCACAGATATTTAAAGCAGCCTTATTCATAATTGCCAAGACTTGGAAACAACCCAGATGTCCTTCAGTAGATGAAGGGATAAACTGGTACATCCAGACAATGAATGCACTTTTAAAAAGGAATAAATTTATCAAGCCATGAAAAGACATGGAAGAACCTTAAATGCATATTACTAAGTAAAAGAAGCCAATCTGAAAAGGCTACCTACTGTATGATTCAACTATACGACGTTCTGGAAAAGGAAAAACTATGGAGACAATAAAAACATCAGTGTTGCCAGGAGTTACGGGCGAGGATGGGCTGCAGGGAAATAAAGGGAAGAGGGGATTTTTAGGGCAGTGAAACGATATAATACTACGACAGTGGTAAATGTCATTATACATCCGTCAAAACCCACAGAAGTACAACCCTACGGTAACCTATGATTTTGGGGTGACAATGTGACATAGTAGGTGTATCCACTGTAACAAATGTACCACTCCGGTGACGGGTGTTGATAAGAAAGGCTGTGCTTGTGGGGGAGGGGAGCAGGGGGTATATGGGAACTCACTCTACTTTCCACTCAGTTGTGCTGTGAACCTAAAACTGTTCTAAAAAATAGTCCATTAAAAAAATGCAAAACAGGGGCACCTGGGCGGCTCAGTCATTAAGTGTCTGCCTTCAGCTCAGGTCATGATCCCAGGGTCCTAGGATTGAGCCCCGCATCGGGCGCCCTGCTCCACGGGAAGCCTGCTTCTCCCTCTCCCACTCCCCCTGCTTGTGTTCCCTCTCTCGCTATGTCTCTCTCTGTCAAATAATAAAATCTTTAAAAAAAAATGCAAAACAACAACAAAAGCAATTCAAAATGAGTATCAATGGAAGAACCAGATTTTCGAAGACACACCTTGCTATTTTCCCAAGTGTGAGAAGAAACTTCCAACTTCTATTTGGACTTATATTAATTACTTCATATTAGAGGGGAAAAGCAGTAATATATGTGTATCAAAGCTAGATGATCTCATGAAGGGCCTGGTGCCACTACTCAAGCAGCCCCTATGGGTTCTGAAAATCTAGAAAGATTGATTCTCCCACATTTCTCCTCCAAATTGGAACAAAAGAGACACAGTTCGGCATCAGTTAAATCATGTGTCAAAATCAGTCTGCTCCCATTGGTAAATTCAAGGCTTCTGATCATGATAAACCCAAGAATAAAGAGAGTAAACATGAAGGAAAAGAGAAAAGAACTAATAAAACTTAAATACAGGAAAGAAACACTGCTTGCTACAATACTAAGTTTAGCTAATTGTTCTGGTGTACAGACATGAAGGGTACTTTCTGGGGGCCCCCTTTGTCCCTCGAGCATTCCACTGCTCACAGGAGGAGGAAAGTGGAAAAGGGAGTGTCTAAAACATAAACCATGCACGGCACTTCATATACCTTCCCTGCTTTCTGCAGTGAAGCTTCCAGCAGGCACCCGCAACTGAAGGGTATCCATTGTGTTTACAGGGCAAATACTACATGAGGGTATTCAAGACAATGGTGAAGGAAGAATGACCCCTTCCACCAGCTGCCTCTATTTCCTCTTCCTGTAGATATAAATACTATACAACTTTGTATTAATGAGGTAGATTACTCCCTTTTTCGTTTCCTCTCCCTGCTGAACGCAGAGCCCAACGCAAGGCTTGATCTCAGGACCCTGAGATCATGAACTGAACCTAAACCAAGAGTGAGACGCTCAACCGACTAAACTACCCAGGCACCCCGAGGCACATTATTTCTAGTAACGCCAGGCTAAAGAGGTCATGTCTTCAATTTGCCAACAGACTCAAAGAAGTGGTAAATATATATACACAATTTATACACAATGCTTGATTTCACTGTGTACCTGAAGAGGAAATCACATATAGAAAAGTCCCTTGTTTTCTTTGTATGTCACTTTTATCTCAATAAAACTGGAAAGAAAAAAAGACTCTTCTTATAATCTAGCAAAAGAAATAGCTTAAGGTAGTCCATTCTGTGCAATAACAAGGAACAATTCCAGGAATGGTTGTTAATACACTTATTTTAAATTAGAGGAGTAAAGAGAATTTTGAATTGAGAAAAACAAATCATCCCACATATGGTTATCATTGTCATTTCTATATATTCCCTTCCCATTACAGGGGTTTCAAGAGTCCGTACAAAACCTATTATTTCATCGACTTGAAAATAAAAATTCAGAATCAACTCTTCCTACAAGAACAATAGGACATGCATTAAGAGAACTGAACGCACCCTATCTGTTCAATTAGCTTCTTGGATATGTAAAGCGCTCAAAGACATCTTGAGACATACCCATCTTTCCAGCTGTAAAATAAAGAACTGAAATCCTCCACACTTGGAACAAAGGCTAAAGTTAAATTACACAAAAAGTCAGACATTATTAGGACTTTCATGAGGAAGAGTGTGATAAAGTTCCACAAAACAGACTTAAAATCATTAATCACAAAACATTAGGGGCACATCTTCAACTAAAACAGGGCAAGAGAAAGCAACAGGTGTCTATAGGTTAGTTATTTCTGATGTTTACACCTAAGATTTGAGTTCAAACTCTACCACTGCAACCTTGATCAGGTTACCACATCTCTGAACCGATCTCTTTCTCAGCTGATTAAAACAGATATATATGCACATACGTTACAGGTCTGTTGTGAAATTCAGGAAATTAAAATTCCTGAACTGCAGGGACTAACATTAGCTGGATGCTTAATGACAAAACCAGCGTTGTCCCAAGGGCTTCCTAGGAACGAATTCATTTAATCTTCATACAATCCTACCTAGGAAGATAGAAGTATTTTCCTTGAACAGATTTGGAAATTGAGGCTCAGAAGAGGTTAATAACTGGCCCTGAATCCCTGCTATTCTGTCTTCCAATGCACTTAACACACAATAAATACTCAATACAGCACATGTGCCACATTCCAGGAGCTGTTCTAAGCACTCTACATATATTAACTCAGAGAATCCTCAGTAAAATTCTAAGACAGGCACTATTATTACTTCCCATCGCACATACAAGAGAACTGAAGCCAGAGAAATTCGGTATTTTTTTCCAAGGTCACGTAGTTAATTGATAAATGTTAGAGCTGGGATTCCAACTGAGGTCCCAATACTATTCTCCTCCAAAAAAATAAAAAATAACCATTACTGTTTCTCCCATGAAAACAAGCTATGACACATTTTGTCACACAAATTGTCCTTAGTTTATCTTCATGATTCTATTAAACATTTACAATTCCCAGGGTTGTTGGTATGTGATCTTTGTGTGTTGATAAGGTTCTAGACAAAAAGTAAAGAGAGCGCCGAATCCTAACCACTAGACCACCAGGGAGGCTGACAAAAAGTAAAGATACTCAATATTGCAATTAGGCCTACACATTTCTAGGAAGGGTAAGCGAGCGATTTTCAAACAACTTTTCAAACCTCATCATTGTAAATACATTGAAAACCTCCATTTCCACTATGTTGGACCCCTCAGAACTTCAAAATCCAGAATCCAAAGCCGGGTAACAAATGAAAGAGGGACTCCAGGGAAGATAAGAATTTCACTGACACCCAACAATTCTACATAAAGTTTTCTTTGCCATCCCTGGAGCCTACGTTACTGTAAGGATAAGAGATCTTTTTTATGTTGTAGGGGTTGACTATTCTCCTCTTCCACTACATTTACCGCTGATCGTTG